GGGCGCAGGTGGCCAGAAATGGAGCCTGACAGCTCCTGGGCAGGGTGGGGGCCCCGAGAGGGCCTTGAGGACCCGGCTGTAGGAGCAAGCGGGTGCAGCAGGAGTCAGGGCTGGTGTCGTGCCCGTTGAACGCCCACTCCTCCGCAGGTGGACGAGGAGGTGCTCAAGTGCCCTAAGGCCGTATCCAGCCTGGCCTTCGCCCTGGCCTTCCTGCAGCGCATGGACATGAAGCCCCTGGTGGTCCTGGGGCTGCCCGCTCCCACGGCGCCCTCGGGCTGTCTTTCCTTCTGGGAGGCCAAGGCACAGCTTGCCCAGAGATGCAAGGTGCTGGTGGACGCCCTGCGGCATAATGCCGCCACTGCCGTGCCTTTTTTTGGCGGCGGGTCGGTGCTGGGCGCTGCTGAGCCAGCCCCTCATGCCAGGTTAGTGCTGACCCTGCGTGCCCCTGCGTCCTCAGATCACGCTACTCCACCCGCCCAGCCCCAGACCCGCGGGTCCTGGAGGCAACCTCCTTGAGCACCACGTCTGGCCCCCAGCTATGGCGGCATCGTCTCGGTGGAGACCGACCTACTACAGTGGTGCCTGGAGTCGAGCAGCATCCCCATCCTGTGCCCCATCGGGGAGACGGCCGCCCGCCGCTCCGTGCTCCTGGACTCACTGGAGGTGACCGCGTCCCTGGCCAAGGCGCTGCGGCCCACCAAAATCATCTTCCTCAATACCACGGGCGGTCTGCACGACAGCAGTAACAAGGTGTGTCTCCTCCTTTTGGACCCCACTCCCCGCGACTCTGCGCCAGGCTGAGCCCCTCTCTTAGGTCCCCTGCACGCCTCCCAGACGGGCCCCAGAGTCAGTCTCTCTCCAGCCGCATGGGTCGGAAATGGAGTGTCAGGGAAGGACTCAGCCTATGGTGCTCAGATCTGAGCCCCTCACTGGCCAAGGACTTCGGGAGGAAGTAAGGGAAAAGGGGTCAGTGAGGAGAGGTCCGTGGGGCGGGGGCACAGTCCTTGTCCGGCTGCAGGTCGGAGGCTCACCCCCTCGTCCTGGACACAGGTCCTGAGTAACGTGAACTTGCCCGCCGACCTGGACCTAGTGACCAACGCCGAGTGGGTGAGCACCAAAGAACGGCAGCAGATTCGGCTCATCGTAGACGTGCTCAGCCGCCTGCCTCACCACTCCTCGGCCGTCATCACCGACGCCAGCACGCTGCTCACCGAGCTCTTCAGCAACAAGGGTGAGGGCCGGGGCGGGGGGTGCGTCGGGGTTTGGGGAGCCAGGAGAAGCGGCTTCCTCTCCAGACAGTAAAGGCTTCCTGCTCTTGCCAAACCTGGGGGAGGTGAGCAAGGAGGTGGACGGCCCTGGGCTAGAACTTGGGTGGAACTAGACAGATGGGAGGGACTTGGGTGGGTGGGAGGAACCACAGACCCAGCGGAACCAAGTGGAACGGACAGAGCTAGGAAATGTGGGCGGGGTTTGGATGGGTGGGCGGGACCAGGGGCGGGGGAGGGCAAGGGTAGGCGGGACTAGGAGAGGTAGGTGGGACTACAGGCGATAGGCGGAACTTGAGGGACAAACTGCCTGGGGAAAAAGCAAATCCCTGAGTGAAAATCGCGCATAAATCTATGCAGAGCTTAGGAAGCGTCTCACTATGGAGAGCTCCCAAAGAGAGTAATTGCCCCACCAGCCCCTGTCCTATCTGGAATCCCCACCAGGCTGCGCAAAGGGAGGAGCGGAGGGGACCTGGATCTCGGGCCGAACTCACCCCTCCTCCTCCATCCCACCCCCAGGGTCCGGGACGCTGTTCAAGAACGCCGAGCGGATGCTGCGAGTGCGCAGCCTGGACAGCCTGGACCAGGGCCTCCTAGTGAACCTGGTCAACGTCAGCTTCGGCAAAAAGCTCCGGGACGACTACTTGGCCTCGCTTCGCCCGAGGTTGCACTCTGTCTACGTCTCTGAGGGGTGAGCCTGCGGGCCCCAGAGGGCAGGGACCAAGGGACAGAGCCGGGGAGCTTTGGACCAAGGAGAGGTCCCAGCCTGCCTCTCCCCCGCTGCGCCAGGTACAACGCGGCTGCCATTCTGACCACGGAGCCTGTACTTGGGGGCACCCCGTATCTAGACAAGTTTGTGGTGAGCTCCAGCCGCCAGGGCCAAGGCTCCGGCCAGATGCTGTGGGAGCGCCTGCGGCGGGACCTGCAGACGCTTTTCTGGCGCTCCCGGGTCACCAACCCCATCAATCCCTGGTAGGTCCCGCCCCTCCCGGCTCTGGGCTGGGCCGCGCCCCCACTCTCCTCTCCAGCTCTGGCCAGCTACGCCCCGGGGACCACCAGCCAGGAAGGCTGGGCCTCCCTTCTTTCATTAGCCATTCTTCCCCAAGGGAAATGGCCCGCTCAGTGTGGCCCCACATTCCCCAGGGAGTGGACCACACACGGAGCCTGAGATTTCCCTAGAGGCAGAGCACACTTAACCCGGCTCTGCCCGGCTAGGGTAGATTCCTTGAAGACAGTCTCCACCCGGGAAGCAGCCTGCCTCTCCCAGGGTCTGCAGAAATCCAGCACCTCAGGGCTCTATTCCAGGCCGAGTTGCCAAGCTCTGACCCCAGGCCCACTGCATCTCCAGTGGAACACTCCCTCCTCTCTTTCCTTCTGCAGTTATCACCTCATCCCCCACTACTCTGCTCTGTGGGCACCAAGAAGTGGACAGGAACCCCTCCCCGGGCTGCACAGCCAAGGCAGTGTGGAGAGAGCAAAAGAGGGCCTCACTCTAACCCTCCTAGCTGTGTGACTCTGGCTAGTTAGCTAACTTCTCTGAGCCTTAGCTGCTTCTCTGTGAAAAAAGCATACCACCACCAGGCTATTGGCTAATGCTATAAGGATAAAATCAGATTACACACCACAGGTCCTAGCAGAGTGTCCAGCATGTACAGGCATACCCCAGAGATATTGCCAGTTTGGTTCCAGACCTCCACAATAAAGTGAATATTGCAATAAAGTAAATCACATGAATTTTTTGGTTTCCGAGTATATATAAAAGTTATGTTTATACTGTAGTCTATTAAGTGTGCAATAGCATTATGTCTAAAAAAAAAAGTGTATATACCTTAATTTTAAAATACTTTTATTGCTAAAAACTGCTAACCATCACTTGAGCCTTCAGTGAATAATCATCTATTTGCTGGTGAAGGGTTTGAAATATTGCAAGAATTACCAAAATGCAACAGAGACACGAAGTGAGCAAATGCTGTTGGAAAAATTACCTTGATAGACTTGCTCCACACAGGGTTTCCACAAACCTTTAATTTGTAAAAAACGTAGTACCTGCAAAGCAGAATAAAGTGAAGTGCAATAAAACGAGGTGCGCTTGTAGTAGGTCCTCAGTAAATGAACCAGTGAGCAGTGAGCACTGGCCTTGCCTAAAACCTGTCTCCCACCTCCACCAGGTACTTCAAACACAGCGATGGCAGCTTCTCCAACAAGCAGTGGATCTTCTTCTGGTTTGGCCTAGCCGACATCCGGGACTCTTACGAGCTGGTCAACCACGCCAAGGGGCTGCCAGACTCGTTCTGCAAGCCAGCTTCTGACCCAGGCAGCTGACCCTCTCTACCAGCCCTGCAGGCCCTGGGACAGCCAGGGTGGACCAAAAGCCATGCCTGCTGAAGGTGACCCGAGGCAGCCACAGGCCGGACCAGGCTTGTTGGCTGAGTGAGGCAGCAGCCGCTACTCTACCCTGCCCAGAGGGGGGCACCCAAGTGAGGACAAGTGCAGGCAGGAGAAGGGCCTGCCCAAGACCCCCTACTTGCTCCAAAGCCACAACCAGATGGCCTTGAATTTTCAGGCTAGGGATTTGGGGGGAGGAGGGCTTGCCTTTGAGGGCTCTACTCAAGGCTTAAGGGTGGGCCAGTGTCTGTGGTCTCTGTGCTGTTTTGAGGCTCCCTTGCCCAAAATATCACCCACATCTGCCTGATATTCCACCATTCGTTTTAGTTCCTTCGGGTCTTGCAACTTTTCAGGAGACCTTGATTAAAATGCAAATACTTGTCTGAAAGTCAGCTCACACTTGAAAGGAAATTAGCAGTGACCCTCTGGAAAGAAGATCTTGAGGGCTGGGGAACCTCTTCCTAGAGGGAAGAGAGGAGCTAAATGAGGCCGAGGCCCCCAAATGAATGCTACCACGACCTCCCTCCCCCAGCTGTCAGCAGTCCCCAGAGAGACTCCCCTACCCCTTAGTTAGGAAACATCTTCCATGCCACAGACCAGACTGACAGCAGCCCCAGCTCCCTTTCCAGGCAGGGCTCAGGGCCAAGCCCAGACTTCGATGTTTTCCCCTGGGCCCCCCTGGAGGTTGTGTCTCCATCTTTGCAGGAAGAGAACATCTCAGATGGGTAGGAGTCCAAAGCCTGAGGTTTCATTTCACATTTTTGTCCTCCACCATGTGCCAGGAACCATACTGGCTGCTGGGGCTACTTTCTGTCAGGAGGTGTGCAGACGAGTAGGGAGAGGGTCACCATGGCACACACACGGGGCTGCTGTGACACAACCAACCCCCAGGAGAGGGCTGGTGTCCCGTACATATCTGGGCGTGGGCATCAGACAGACCTGACCTGGAATCCAGCTCTGTGGCCTGAGGCAAGCTGCTCACCTTCTCTGAGCCTCCATTTCCCCACCTGTGAAATGAAAACTCCTCAGCCTCATAGTGACACTTAATATCAATTCTCTCCCTCTAGCTGCCCTCACCAAAGATTTCTTCGAAAAGAGCTGGCACCAAATGGGGAGGAAAAGATAAGCCACAAGAGGGACTGAAGTGAAAGGTCAAAGCATATACTACAGGGAGCATTTGGAGACTCTTGAAAAGAGAGCCAAAGGACTGTGGGAACTCTCAGAACAGGGGGAAGATCATGGGCGGATCAAGGTGGGGCTTAACCAGATATGGTATTTCAAGAAACCCAAGATCAATCCCAGCCAATGGCTAAGTGCCCCGTGGGGAGAACAGAGAAGCAAAGCCAAATGTCTATATAAAATGTTTATTTTTGGAGGACTGTGTGGTCTGGTGTTTGGGAGGGCACTCACCCCCACCAGGCCAACCACGGAGCTGGAAACAGAAGGCCAGAGGCAGGAAGCTGGCTGCTGCCTGTCCCACCCCTGCAAACCCCAGAGTAAACTGGGGCCTGCTCTACCCTCAAGGTGGGTGACAGCTAGTGCTGTTTCTGCCCCTGGCACACCCTGACAGTCCACATGACTTCCGTGGTGCCCAGCCCCTCTGCTCCTCCTGGGCCTGAGCCACGTGTCAACGTGCACACTCGCTCGCTCTCAGTCTCAGAAAAGCACTGCGGAGCCTAGCTGCATCTGCCAGGTTGAAAAAGGACTGTTTCACATTGGCTCACTTCCGGTTCTCCTCTGTCTCCCGCTCTCAGTACCCCACCCTAGCCCTGCCTTACTCCCTTCCCTGGGACAGGAGACCCAAGGGAGCAGCTGGCCTCAGCTCTCCTCGTAACAAACAGGAAAAAGAAACCTGTAAGGCAGAGTCATCAGGGCTCCCACCTCACCAAGGCCCAAGCCCAGGAACTGGGGAAGAGACCTGCCTCTTACCAACACACGCACACACATGCGTACGCACACACATGCACACAACGCAAGTGATCAAACAAACAGACCAAAAAGCATAAGTAAACATAACTGGGCCAGCAAGGAAGAAGGTAGGGTAGATCTCAGTGGCTCCCTGCACCCATCTCAGACTCCCGCTGTGCAACTCAGCCGTCGGTGGCCAGGATGACAGCGGCCCCAAAGATGCCCACACTCTCTCCAAGGAGCTTCATCTGGTTCCAGAACTCAACACGCCGCGTGTTATGCCAGTAGGCAACGTTGCCATCAATGAGCAGCATAACCGGGGGCAGTAGAACAGCCAAGATCTGGGCAGCCAGGGTCACGTAGTAGCCTGACAGGAAAGCCAGGGCCAGGACGCCATACAGCACGAAGAAGAGCTGGATCATCAGCTCCCCGCCTGGGAGATGGTTCAGATACGCCAGCCGGTCCTCCTTGCTGTGCTGCAGCGAGTAGGCCTAGAAACACACCATCCTCTAAGGCTCTCCAACAGGCTGAGGAGCCTGTCTGGGTAAGGCCACCCCTGGCATGCAAGCAGCCCCTACAAGGTGGGCTTCTGACTCCCCTCTCAGACTTGGGGCTTTCTGAAAGTAAAGCCTGTGTCTCCCCATCTGACTAGGGAGCTCCATGGGGTTAGGACCTCTGTCTCTCCTTACTCTGGGGTCTCAGAAGGGAGGAGGTTCCACAGTCAGACCGGGGCTCTCACCTCCGAATTCAGAGCTCTGCACATGGGAGATGGTGCCCAGCAACTAAGATGAAGCCAAGTGACTTGGGGCCTGCTCACATCCGCATCCACAATGGCCTCCCCGAGCACCAGGGAGGACATAGCTGGCTACCCATAATAGGCAGCCCCATCAGCTCTAAGTGGCAGAGTCCCATCTGGGACCTGAACTCTACCAAACCTCTCCTTTGTCCCCTCTCCCAGTCCTCTGGGGGCTGAAGCCATGAGAGGACCCGTCCCGCTTGTTCTTCTGGCTCTCAGGCTTGGGACTGAAGGGTCAACCCATCCTCTTCTCTCCCCAGTGGCAATAATGCCGGAAGAAGGGACTCTCGGCCAGGTCTCAGGCACTTGAAGGGCCCCCGAGGCCCAGAATTTGGCAGGGGCCACTGCCGGGAGCCAGGCACGGGCTCACTTCTCACTCCCAGTCAGGCACCTCCAGCCCACAGTCCCCCAACCTACCACGCAGATGAGGTAGATGCCCAGGAAGACCTGGCCGGTGGACTGGAGGGAACGGCTGCGGGGTTTCCGACGGTACAGCTCCCCAGCACCGCTGGCCAGCACAAGAAAGCCACCGATGATGGCAACTGTGCGAGAGTACATACGGACCTAGGCCGAGGCGAGGGGACCCCAGTCAGGACCTGAAGCCACCACACTTCTCCTGGCTTCCCGGAGCGCAGAACTGCCCATCTCTATACATCCCATTCCACCTCATGAACCCTCTTACCACTTCCAAGTGTGGTGGGCAGGTAGAGCAGAGATAGGTAATTTTTTTTACCAGAAGTAGAAACGGAGGCCCAGAGGGGTTAATAAAATTGTCCAAGGTCCTACAGAAAGTGGCAGAACCCAGATACCAAGCGTTGCCCCCCTCCCCACCCCCAGGTCTGCACACTCGAAGCCCAATGTTCTTTTTGCTATATAGTATACACTGTTCCATAACTAACCGTTGATCTCACTGTCCTATGGCTATTCACACATCTGCCTCCCCTACTGGACTGACAGTCCGCTCCTTGCGGGTAATGCCTTGGTCCAGGCTTATCTCCAAGACTGTAGTGCCTGGCACAGGTCCTGGCATCTACAGGCTTAAATGCTGCCCTAGGATTAAATTTCATAAAATCGGTTGGGTGGACCAGGTACTCTCTAAGGTCCCTTTTGCCCTATGAGTCTGAGATAACTAATGGTTTAAAGGGTTCTGGGAACCAGGTGACCTGGGTTCTGGTCACACCTGTAATGCTAACTGTGGTGTAACTTTGGGAAAGTCTGGTTTGCATCTCTGGACCTCAGTTTCCACACTCTGAAGGGGAGGTTTGCGTGGTGTCTAAGGTCCTTCCATTCTCGCCGTCTGTAATAACCTCTACACGCCTGGGGGTTCAGCCTTTCCAGGCTTCGCACTGTGCTCCTGGATAGCACCAGGCATCGCCCAACTGTCCCGGGCATTGGCTCCCCAACACCCCAGCGAAGTCCCACTTAGGGCCGAGGCGCTCACCTTCAGCCAGTCCCCGTAGTGGACGTAGCCCCCGATGTAGGCGGCGTAGGTACTAACGGCCAGCTGGAGTGCGGCCCCCAGAGCGAACCAGCGCCGCTTCACTCCAAAGGACATGAAGCTAGCGCACAGCACGGCCGCCCCCATGTCGAAGTACAGGTAGGGCACTGGGATGTCGGGCTTCCTGCGAGCCGGGAGGGGGGAAGGAACGAGGACAGAATGAAGCACAGAATGAAGCGGGGAAAAGAGCCTTGAGACCCCTTAGGTTCCCGCAAGCTCCACTGCTTCCCTCTCATAGCTAGGACCCCCACACTACGCTCCATGCCCACCATGCTCCGGACCAGAGTCCCTAACAAGTCCAAGGTCCCAATTCCTCCCAGTCCAAGGGTCCCAACTTCTGGGCCGCAACTTCTTCCCCACCTCACCGCACCCTCGTTGCTGGGACAGGCCGGACCGCCCCCACCGCGTTCGGCGGCCGCGCGGGCCTGCTCACCGGCGCGCCTCGGCCCTCTCAGCGTACAGCATGAGCTGGCTGAAGCAGCCCCAGAACGGGCAGCGTGTGAGCAACACCGAACCCAACTGCATGATCAGCTGCAGCATCCACCGTCGCGAACCTATCTTCGGCGCCATCTTGAGGAAGGGCAGTCCGCCGCGGCCTCACCCCGCGGCCAAGGAGGCCGGCGCGAGGACGCGACGCACAACTTCCGGCTCTCGCGGGGTTTTTTTCCCCCCCACTTCCGTCAGGAAACAAAGCTCTCGCTCTCTAGTTCTGGACCGAAGGAAGTGTTCTAGCTGCAGGGTTGTCTTTCCTTCTGACCATGGAGGCTCAAGGGTCCCTTCTTGTAGCTGCTGCAAAGTTGAAAACTAGAGTAGAGGAAGGAACAGTAAGCGAACTGGCCTTTGAATGCAGCTAAACTTAGGCTCCAACCCCTAATGCAACCCTGTGACTTTGGGCATATCGCTACACTTTCCAAGATTCATCTGGGAAACGGAGATGACACCTATCTCACAGGGTTGTTGTGAGGTTTAAATGTGACAGTGTTGGTTCGAGCACATAGTAGGGGTTCAATAAATGGTGTACACAACACACACCCCAGAGGAAATCCCTCTGCTTCTGTTTAAGCTGAAAGTAAAAGGTTTTCCCCATAATTCAGAAAGACACATGCACCCCAATGTTCACTGCAGCACTACTTACAGTAGCCAGGACATGGAAGCAACCTAGCCAGGACATGTCCATCAACAGAGGAATGGATAAAGAAGATGTGGTACATATATACAATGGAATATTACTCAGCCATAAAAAGGAACAAAATTGGGTCATTTGTAGACACATGGGTGGACCGAGAAACTGTAAGAGTCTTTACAGAATGAAGTAAGTCAGAAAAACAAATATCATATATTAACGCATATATGTGGAATCTGAAAAAATTGGTATAGATGATCTTATTTACAAAGCAGAAATAGAGACACAGATGTACAGAACAAACATATGGATACCAAGGCGGAAAGGAGGGGGTATGATGAATTGGAAGACTGAGATTGACATATATACACTATTGATACTACGTATAAAACAGATAACTAATGAGAACCCACTGTAGAGCACAGGGAACTCTACTCAATGCTCTGTGGTGACCTAAATGAGAAGGAAATCCAAAAAAGAGGGGATATATGTATACATATAGCTGATTCACTTTGCTGTACAGTAGAAACTAACACAATATTGTAAAGCAACTATACTCCAATAAAAGTTAAAAAAAAAAAAAAGAGGTTTTCCTAAGAGCCACTTGTAGAGAAGTGTGATCTTGGTCTGCCTTCCTTCTGTCCCCTGAGAGAAGACAGATCTGATGTGGACATATGGGACAACTCAGGCAGTCCATTTCTCCAGCTCCGACGCTCCCACTCTAGCCCAAACTACCACCTTTTGTCAGTTTAGCTGCACCAGGTTTCCAACTGGTCTTCCCCACTTCTCCTTTGGTGCTGTTTGTTCTTAGTTCCTCTATTTTATGTTCTCATAACCAAAAGGCACCCTTCCTTTGAATCAGCACACTGGCAATTATATATTTGTGATTTTTTTGTTGTCATTGATGACTAGATTAACACTAGACTGTGAGCTCCATGAGGGCAAGGACAGTGTCTGGTTTCTGTTTACAATTATATTCTCAGGGCCTAGTAGACAGGATGCATTCAGGAAACATGTGCCGAATAGATAAATAAATGAAAAGGTGTTACCGCTATTTCTTGCCTCAGGAATCATTTGTTGAATAAGTAAATGAGCAAAAGTTCTGGACACTCTGGGACTGCCACCACAAAGCCACCCCCACCTATCTTCCTGCACACCCCACCACCACCCTGCAACATACAAATTCATCTTCTGATATTCAAGTTAAGACTCTACAAGCACTTCCACAAGCCCATTTAACTCAGGAGGTCTGTTTTCATTTCCCTGGGAAAGGGGCCTTCTGCCCAAGAAACATTTCTGACAATATGAATTTAAAATTCCCAATCAGCCAGTGAAAGCTTGGGACAACAAAACACCTTTTCACATCTAATTTTTTACAGTCACTAGGACAAAGCCTGGGTATGTGAGAAAGGGATGTATCCAGGCAGAAAACTAGGGAATGAGATTGTGTGATTGCTGGGTGGGAAGACGCCAGTCAAGGGGAATGAGAAAAAGACTGGGTTAAAGGTCATTTTGCCTTCCCCTCCCACCCCTCCCACCCCCCACCACATGAGGCAAGTTTTCTTCACCAAAACGCAGGCACATACTACAGAATCAACTTTCCAACTGATTTCCTTTTTCCAATCTCCTCACCCAACCCCGATTCAAACGGGACAAGATGCACAGCCATCGGGAAGGAGCTAAGGTGTTGAGAACTGGGATAGTGTACATCCACAAAATAGTTCTAGGAGCCTGCCTGGGTTGTGCCCACGGGAACAGTACCCTTACCCCACCTCCATCATAACTTTAGCAACCAGTTTCTGATCAAGTCCCCAACAGCAGAGGCCAGGGACATGTGTGAGGAAGGGGAAGGAGATGAGGATTAATGCTTTCCTTGTACCCATCCCACCCCAGTTCCCTCTGGTCTTCAGTTTCTACCTTTTAGTGTCCTCTTCCCCAAAGAAGTGTTGAGGACTAGGGGCCAGATCCCTCTTTTTCTAGGGCTGGAAAAGATGGCATTGTGCTAGATCGGGGGAAATATGTGAGGAGGGTGGTTGGCCCTAGGCCCTGAGAGATGAACACAGCCATTTCTCTCTCCCCTCCCACCACTCCTCCCACCCTGCCTGGGCAGACAACTGAGCCCCGAAGACTTCTGAGGACCATCCCTTTTCCTCTCTCACAGCTTCATCTTCTCCCCCTCCTCCAGCTGCCTCTCTAGAGGGCTCCCCTGCTCTCCAGTTCTCCTGGGGCCCCACCTGCACTTGCACTCAACCATGACCGCAGCCGCATTGACTAGAATGGTGCCCGATACCTAGCCAAGGCAGAGCTGGGGCTCCACACTGCTTAGCACCGCCCCGCCAGCCGCCCAGGGCCATCACAAGTCATGCTACCCAGGTCAGCCACACACAAGTGCCACAGGTGGTCCAGCTTCCCAAAGGCCCACTGCAGGTCAGTCGCAGACCCAGGGGTTGCTGGTCAGCAGCAGCAGCATGCCTGCTGTCCGGATGCCCGCCACATCTTGAACTTGACATGCTGCAGCAGGCTGCCTACAAAAGAGAGCAGGCCCAGCGCCTGCAGGGCTGCAAAGGCCTCAGCCTCCTGCTTGCTGACGTCGGTCCCAGCCAGAGAGCACCTCCAGGCTGGCGCCCCTGACTCGCTGTGCCGGTTCCCAGCCAGCCCTGCCCGCACAGGTGGAAGAGGCCCCTGGCTCCAGCAGTGCCCAGCTCAGCCCGGCTGTGTGGCTCAGGTCCAGCTGCCCCAAGTTTCCCAGGCCCCACAGGCTGCAGGGCTCCAGGGTAGCAAGCAGGTTGTGAGAGGTCTAGACAGAGCAGAGAGCACAGGGTGATGGAAAAGTCTGGGCACAGGTGAGCCAGCTGGTGTGGCTGAGGGCCAGATGCTCCAGGAAACCCAGGCCCCTCACCCAGGGCTCCACCAGCCAGATCCCATGGGACACTGTGAGAAAGCAGCGGCACCACAGTCCCCACAGGCCCTGGAAGGAGCCACCTGCCAGGCGGCTGAGACTACTGTGGCTCAGCTCCAAGAGCTAAACGGTCAGGGAGCCTGGGAGGGGGCTGAGCAAGTGGAGGCCCCCACAGTCTACACAGTGCCCAAGGCTGGGTAGGTACATGGCGCTGGCCACACTGCTGCCAGACTCCCAGCAAGGCCAATGCCACCATTGTGGCCATGGTCACCGTAAGGAAGGAGTGGCCACACCTGCCCCATCCTTGCCCCATGAGGGGCTGGAGTGAGGATGGCACCGGGCCGTCATGGATGCTGAGAGCCCACGCCACACTCCTCCACCCAGGAGCCTGGGGAAGCACGGTGATGCTAGGAAAGAAAAATAAACGCAAACACCATTCAGAGGTCTCACCATGTTGCCAGGTCCCCCAACATGGTCTCAAGGTCACCTTCCCTCCATCTCCCAAGATTTTACCTGCTACCTAGGCTTCTGGCAAAAGCCATTTCAGCCTGAGACCCCAGCAACCAGATCCCCCAGCCCCAGACACCCGCCCCCATTCCATTATTCCTACTAGGATGAAAGGCAATCGAGGAAGATGGCCTTTTTAATCCTCTCGACCTTTTTTACTCACACTCCACACCCCACCTCACTTATTTCCCACACGATCGCAGGAGAAACGCTGCCTTCTCCTACAAGAAGAGCTTCAGCTAGATCCTGGCCTAATCTGGCCACTGAGGTCAGGGCCTCAGGCGGAAGCCCTGGGCACTCACATATATTCCTGGCACTACTTGCTGAGTGCAATCCCAGCCCAGGAATGGCAGAGGAAGCTCAGCTCTAGTTACCTGCCTTGCTGGCCTCCTGCCAGAGCCCCACCCCCCAAAGCAGGAGCAATCAGCTCTCAGGAAGCCATAATCCTGAGGGTGGGGATGGAGGACAGGTTGAGGAAATCTCCAAGGCCTTTTGGCCTTATATCCAGGGGAGCAGGACCCTGCCCTGCTTTTCTAAGAGCAGGTGTTCCCCCCTCCACCTCTTTCTCCCTTCTGGAGACCCAGGCCCTCCTCTACTTCTTGTCAGGATGGCAGCTGGAGGCCCCTTGGAGCCCTCCCTCAAGTGAGGAAGCAGCCAGGTGTCTCTTCTTTCATTCTTACTTCCTGCCTAAGACATCTGGACGCAAAGGAAGGGAATGCTCGCTCTTGTTCTCACTAGGCCAAAGGTCAAAGTACTCCACTCTGGCCTTCCAGGAGTACCCAGTATCTCCTTCTGAAACAGAGGGGTCTGGGGCCAGGGTACCCCGTGCTTCTGCCTTGCCCTGGGAGGCCTAAACAAGTTACTTTCTCTCTAGGTTCCTGAGTGTGCTCACGAGCCCCACCCAGCAAACTCTTAAAGAGAATAATAATAATGGCCGTATGGAAGAGATGGTTACCAAGGGCCAGGCATCTCATTAAAGGCTTCATTTAATTCTCAACCAAGACACTCATTTCACAGATGAGGGAACTGATCCTTGGCAAGACAAGGTAAGTTGCCAAGTCATACTGCTAACTAGTGGCAGAGGTGAAATCTGACATGGCTTCTTTGAATCCAGGCAAGCGCCTAACCACTAAGCTACAAGGCCCCAAAGAGTGGGCCACTGTTTCCCATGCCAGCCAAACATCCCCCTAAGAAGTCAAGGTCACAGGTGAATAATACAGATGATGCCCAGAATGGTAAGAGCAGCTGAGCCACCACCAACATGGGAAATTAGTCTCGGCTTGTGGTTGATCAGACTTGAGCCCCTTTGAATTAATTCAAGTGTGATCTGGTTCAAGCAAATTATACCGGAAAAACTTGAGGAATCACTGTCAATAATCTTTGAGAAAACATTACACACAGAGGGTTGCCAGAGACTAGAACGCAGCACAAGTTCCAATTTTCAAAAGTCAGATAAGTGTAACAACAGTTAACAAAATTCAAAAAGGGCTCACGAAACAGGCAGTCTCATCATTACCGAAAACATGATGGCACTAGGTGCCCACGTGAGTCTACCCACACAAGCTTACTTCCCTTTCTGATAAGAGTTGTTATGTGGCTATCACAGACAAACATCTGGATCTTATTAAAGTCTCTCATGATATCCCTTTAGATAATATGAAAAGACAGTTTATAAAAACTGGAACACAACATTGGGATGGATAACTAGTATATTACATTATAGCACCAAAATTTTTTAAAAGCTCTTAAGAGGCTGGAATAGTTGGCTAAAAATAAGCCATTTCACTGGAGAAGACAAGACAGCTCCCAGTCATATCTGCCTGTTTAGCTACTTCAGTGACCCTCACTCAAGGACATAAAGAGCAAGGACTAGAGTGCAGGAGACTGGAGCTCTAGCCTCAGTTCTAGAGCTGCTGCGTGGAGGACCAAACGGCGAGGTACAGCTATCACATGTTGCTTTTCAAAGTAATGAGCTCCCCATCAATGGAAGTGTTCGAGTAGGGGCAGCCTGTCAAGGATGCTATAAGAGTGGATATTTAAACTGGGAGGCAGTTTAAATATCCATACAAGCTCCAAGATCGTTGGCATTTCTCAGTGCTAGGATACCTGTGCTGAGCTTCGGATACCACACCTGGGCCACCCCTGGAACTAGAAGCATCCTGTCTAGAAGCCCACTGCTCACACACTGCCTTCTGGAGTTACATGGCTGCATATCCTTCCCTTAGCCAGTGCATGTGAATGACGGCAAGACACTTTCATAAAGGTTAATCTGAACAAGAACTGAACTGTATTTGACAGCAGCATGCATTGTAGGGGTCAAGGGACCACCGCTATAATCACTCCCCCTTGCAAACATCCTCAGCTGAATTCCCTTCTCCCACCACAGCACAGACCTGATAAACCTCCCATCCTGCTTATACCCAACTATCCACTCTCTGTGTCTACACCAAGTCACTCAATATGACTCACACAGTGGCCACGCGGTTACACCCTAATGCATGAGCAAGCACCTCTGAAGAGCACTCAGCAATCTTAAGGTAGTTCCCTCGCGTGTTTACTGAGCCACTGGCCACATACTCCTTCACCCCCATCTCCCTGCCAAATCTACAAACTCACCTGCAACGGTACTATCTTCTCCTTCCTTCCTCTTTATTATGGAGGAAGAGCCCCCTTCAATCAGAGGCCAAAACCCCTACTGTGGCCATGGGTCCTCATCCGTTTCTCGGCATTCAGGACGAGGTCACAACTCCTAAAAGTCTAGCTCCAGCCCACTCCTCTCCTCTGAACTCCAAGCTCGTTATCCAGCTGCCCATTTGCCATCTGCTCTCCAGCTTTTCATGGGTGAGACAAAATAACAGAACTCCACTTTCCCACAAACCTCTTCCTCTCCCACTGTTGGCCATCCACTCAGATGTCATTCTTAGTTCCTCTTTCTCTGACCACCTTGCCCTCACATCCAATCTATTAGCCAGTCCAATCAGTCCTGCAATGTTTCTGCCACCACCATCCCTTGTCTGAACCACTGCAACAGGCTCTTAATGCCAACAGTCTTTCTGCTTCCACTGCTGCCATCTAACATCAGCCTACATTCCCTGACAGCTTAAAACCCTCTAACAGCTTCCCACTGTGTCGAGAGCGGAGATTCCAGTCCCTGCGACAATGGCTACAAGGCCCTGCGTGATCTGGCTCCTGCCAAGTTCTCCATCTTGCTCACTAGGCTTCAGCCTCCTACATTCTAGCAGTTCCTAAACATCCCTAAGCTCCTGTCAACCTCAACTTTACCTCCTGCTGGTCCCTCTAACCAAGCACCCTTTGCTGGCGCCTTGTTCTTCAGATTTCAGCTTAAATTACATCTCAGGAGCCATCCCAGAATATTCTCTTTAGAGCAGTACACGTACCTCCCCACAGTAAGCATAAGCAACTGCTTTAAGCTACGAGACAGGCCAGAACGGGGGCCAGATCAGAAGAAGCAGCCACCACTTTAGTCCCTCCACTGAAGACTAACTGTTGCAGTCAGCATCAGGATTAGCTGGGAGAAAGGGAAGAGAGGTTGGTTGAGAAGTCACTAGAGAATTGCTTTACCTTGCCAGTTCAGGAACTTAGTTTTTTAGTCTTTTCAACAAAACTGGAAATTTGGGAGGCCACAATCTGACCTACCTTGGTCCTAGCTGCCAAAGTCTGCTCTGGAGAAACCTGGGGGAGGGCCCCGGTGCTGTTCAAGCTGGAACCCGGTAAACCCTCCTCCCCAGCTCCTCCCATGTTCTTTACTGGTCCCTCATCCTTTTTCCAAACTTGACTTCAAGCTTTCCTCAAAACTCAGTCAGCCTGGACCACTTTTCATCTTGGCTCAGGCAACTCATCCAGTTATTAAACTGATGACTTTCAAAACTCCACCTTACCTTGATGGCTGGATGCTAGGGAATAATACATTATCCTTGCCTTAGGGCCTCAAAATTCCTCATCAGACCATTTAAGATAAACCCAAATAACTATAATGCAGGTTATACATGCCACATGGTATGAGTGATATAAACAAATTGTAGGAATCCCTTTCCATTTTCACTGTCAAAGATGGCTTCACAGGTGGCACTGAAGCAAGATATTGTAGGAAAAGACAGAGAAGATAAAATAAAATAGAACAGATTATTGAGCTTGGAAGTAATCTTAGAGATCACCTAGCCCCCATACATTTTACATGTATCAATTCTAAGGTGCCAACTGATTAAAGAGTGCACTCTGTGGGCTGGGGATGAGGGAACTGGTGGGCAAGTTTCTTCTGACATGGTGAAGCACGCTGCATTTTCAGAAATGCAAGGGTCAGGGAGAAGGGTGTTAACATCTAGAGGATATGAAAGATGTCAATAATGTTTTGGGGGGTGGGAGATGGAAAATATTTGCCTTGCTTTCTCATTTTCCTGTAACAAGCCATGTAAGGCTTTTATAATAAAGAAGAACAAACCCATTCTGAAACTTCACTGCCCAGCAGCAGTCTATCACCAGTGGATGGCAGCCCAACACCCCTTTTTCACCTGTAAAGTACTTCATGCCGTTATGTTAAACCCCTGAAGTTTAGGCAGTACATGACGATTTCACGTTTCTTAAAGGGGAACGTTCTGGCACCGGCGGCCTCCAGCAGGGATGGGAAAGCAAATCTGCCATGTAAACAATGACTATCCTCCAACCCAGATGACCAATCCCAGTTCCCAAACTCTTGTCCCCAGCCTGTCCCCACAACACATCCCGTACAATGCAGCTTCTAAGCTTCTAGTATTACACATTCTCAGTATCCTCCACATCAGCAGGACAGATTCTATTTCTGTGCATGACTGAAAGCCCTCTACATCTTCCTTTACCAGTATGTCTTATGGGAAAACAGATTTTTGACACACACATTCTTACCTTCAAAAATGTCAAGGAGGGCTTCCCTGGTGGCACAGTGGTTGGGAATCTGCCTGCCAATGCAGGGGACGCGGGTTCGAGCCCTGGTCCAGGAGGATCCCACATGCCGCAGAGCAACTAAGCCCGTGCACCACAGCTGCTGAGCCTGCGCTCTGGAGCCCGCGAGCCACAACTACTGAAGCCCGCACGCCTAGAGCCCGTGCTCCGCAACGGGAGGCCACTGCAATGAGAAGCCCGTACACCGCAATGAGGAGTGGCCCCCGCTCGCCGTAGCTGGAGAGGGCCCACGCCCAGCAACAAGGACCCAACTCAGCCAAAAATAAATAAATAAAATTAATTATTAAAAAAAAAATGTCAAGGAGCCTTTACCGTGAATCAGTGGTTCCTAGGCTGCAGCCCCTTAACTAATATTGAAGTGCTTGAGCAATATTCAATACACCAAACATAAATCAGCAATGAGCTGTTCAGACTTACAACAGCACAGATTCAGTATCAACTCACCGTGGTAAGGCTGTTTTACCATACTGACCAGACGCTCTAAATAGCAGTAAACCCAAAGGCATGTATGTGGTAGTGCGGTGGTGACCGGGCGCTGGGGTGTAAAGGTATGTGTGTTTCAGGAGAAAGGAGAATGACTCAAAACTAAGGAAACACTGCAAAACCCCCTGTACGTGTTCCACCATAGATGCAAGCCCTCTGCACCACATTCAATAGTTCAATGTTCTTTCCATCCAGGGCACAACTCCTGCCCCTCTCACCAAGCTCCTCTGTGTTCCACCCCAAACCTGGCTAACAAAGTGAACAATACACACACCATCAGTTCGTAAAGTCACAGGGAAGCACTAGGAGCCCACAAGTGCATAAAGCCTGGGGTTTGTTCCAGCACTGCCACTGTGGGCAGTGGCAGTATTCTAAACAAGTCACTTAGCCCTGGTGGAACCCACTCACCTTCTGTAAAATGAGTGGTTTTCAAATTATAATCAAAGAAACTTCTCAGAGACTTCAGGGAAGAGGTAGGGATGAGATCTGTAAGAGACTGAGAGGGCAGGGCTCCGAGGCCCCTATCTCTGCCCAAATGTTTTACATATTAGCCTCACTTAAAATGGCATCTAAACAAAGACTTCTAAAACAAAGCTGGAGCTTCTGAAAACCAGGTAATTCAATCTCATCTCCAGATTTAACAACCCCAGGACCAAGCTAACATGTATACTAACATTTACAGAGTACCTTCTAAGTATTAAGCATTTTAAATATCTTATTTAACCCTTCACATCAGTTCTAGGAGACGAGCATTAGTTTCATGTTTACAGGTGAGGAAACTAAAGCTTGGACAAATAAAATGACTTATCCACAGTCACAAAGGGAGGAAATGGAAGTGTGAGAATTTGAAGCTAACTATTTATGTCTCCAAAGCCTTTGTTCTTCCTTCCACACTGCATGTCTTTCCCACCATGCTAACTCCACCTCTTGAATTGCTCAAAGTTCCCCCACACCATTTCATGAAATAAAACCAAAGAGTCAAAAGTGCTTCCTACCAGAAACAGTTGGTACCCACTGTCTCCCATTCACAGACCTAGAGACCAATGGGGAGAAAGTGATGATGTGGGACACGTGACACAGAGCTTCCTTCCAGGACTGCCATTTCCCATTAACCACGTTCACTTCTTTAATCACATCTCTCAGGTTTTCTAGACCTTGCAAGGGCGCCTCTCTTCTCCCTCTTTTATCTTCTCCAGAAGTCTACATTTCCACGCGGACTAAATCAAAGGCTTGGTACTTTAAATCAAGTTTTGGCCAATGGCAGGTGATATGAAAGTATACTTCTCAGTCTTCTCTCATTTTTCCTCCAACCAGTCCTGTAACAAATGGTCTCATGTATGTACCCACCCCCTTTATTTCCTCTACTCCACTTACATGCAGCTCCCAACCCTGGATCCCCTTCTTAACTTATATACCTGGCACTGTTTTCTAGATGAGTTCTCAGTGGTAGAAGGAGAGAGGGTAAAGAGTAGGAAGCCAGAGAGTTTAAAGGGAAAGCTTAAACCAAACACACACATCCTCAGACCCCTCCCTCTGGGGCCTCTAAAGCACGCACAAACCCGAGACATGAGTGATGGTTAAAAAAATTTGGGTTTTATTGTTTTTGCTAAACAATACTAAAAAAAAAAAATTTCATTTTGAAGGCAGGGCTTGAATTATTTAATTTTGATCCATTTATTTAATTAAAAAAAAAAGGAAGGGGAAAGAGATCATGGCCAAAGCAATAGTAGTTAACCCCCACCCCACCCCCAAAGCTCTAGCCAGTCACATGAGCATCACCCACCTCCCACGCCACGGTGCCTGATATTCAGATGGTGGCACACTCTACCCACTGGACCGCCTTGCAAGCACAGAGGCAGTGGGTGCCAGTTTAACTCTCGGCAGGTTAGTCAAACCAGACAAACTGGTGGGCTAAAGTCCAGAAATTCTTCCCAGGTTTTCTGCCCATCGGCTGAGCACATACAAACTGTCATAAGCTTGTAAAACTTAAGGGGGGGTAGGGAAGGGCATAAGAGCAGGAGGTTGGCAGAAGAGAAATGATAGGTCACCCAAGCTTTCTCCTGGGCTAGTGGCTCTGGATACAGACTTAAAGAGAGGTCGGAATAGGCAGACTCCAGGTTTCTCATGAAAGAAAACCATCCTTCGAGAAGGAGCTGAGATGTGCCGTGCAAAATAAGTTCTTCCTGCAGAGGGCACGGAGAAAGGGCAGTGGACGCTCCCATCTAGGAGACAGGAGAGTGGTGAGGAAGTTCTTCTAGTACCGTGAAGTAAGACAAAGGCAGAGGGAGAATCCTGAGGTTTTTGCCAAATGGGAGACTGGTACACATACAGTTAAAGACTAAAAAGCTACCAGGAACCCTCAAAGCCAGATCCCATCTGCATACACTGGCTCTACAAAGTGCTGCAGAAGATTCTTGCTGTGAACTAAGTCAAGTTAGTTGCCTGGCTATGGGTGGTAGGGAGGACAATACACTTTTATTTTCAGAGGGATGAGGTGGGAAGAGTGGCCATGATCTAGTAAAAAGAGACCTGCAAGAAGCAGAAAATATTTAGAGAACATTTTAATATATATTTTCATATATATATTTAAAGTTAAGAAAAATAAAACTAATTCAAGCCATGCCCTGTGCAAAAAAAGAAAAACAAAACAAAAACAAAAAAAAAAGAAAAATTTAAAGTGAGACCTCTGTCTGCTGCTCTAGTCTCAACTTAAGTATCACAGTCAGCTTGTTACTTTTATTTTGGAAGAGAAGATGTAAAAGTTTCTTTCAATCACTCAGAAGGCAAGTGTAGCCACTTATAAAAACAGAATGGCAGAGACAGACTGGGAAAGGAAAGTCAGAGGTGAAAGGGCAGAGCAGGAAAGGAATTTTCAAAAATAAAATTAACAAGGTGACTGTTCCAGAAGGGGGCT